CCCCCCCCCCCCCCCCCCCCCCCCCCCCCCCCCCCCCCCCCCCCCCCCCCAGTTCGGCGAGATTGATTGTAAATCAGGTCGGCGGACTTCATGAAGTTAGAGAGGGGTTTGACTTCGCAATAGCTGTCAGTTCGTCAAGAGCATCGTTTCGCGATGGCCAGCTCAGTTGGTAGAGCGGAAGACTGTAGTCTATGACAGCAAATCTTTAAGAAGATGCAAGAGAAAGGGTGGGAGCTTCGTGCCGGGACCCTTCCGTCTTTTGAGAGGGAGTTCGCCAAGTTGAAGGCAGCCAGCGATGCCATTGACGAGATAGTCGTTACGAGCGGCGACTTTAATCTTCCGAGTAGATCAGAGATTGACGGGCTGCGAAAATAAGTCTGGCGGCTTTTTATCATATTTATTCTTTTGTAAGAATTTTTGCCTAAGATGGCTTGTTATCCCCTTTTGTTTAATGAAAAGGTTTTTGTAATTGCTCTTCGTTTTTTTACTTGTGATAGAACTTTTTAGTTCGAAACTGGAAGCGGGATTCCTTTGCCTGTCTTACACCAAACGACGATCAAGATCGAATACCAATTTTTCAGGATTCACTTTGGCCTAAAAGGTATGATCGAGGATCGTGCGAGTATTGTCCTCAACTTTCTTCTTATTCGCTTCAGAAGTATTTAAATCGAACCGAAGCATCAAAGGAGTGGTGATCAGCCACTTATTTTGTTTATTGTGCTTGCTTTTTCGAGTCGAATGTTTGGCAGAACATCAACTCAGCAAGATGCATTCGCATAAGAAAACTTGACTCTATACGCCAAGCTGATTTTCTGAAATATAAATTTATTAGATTTACAGCTGCACCCGGAGGTTGCCTACGTACCCGAATCGGGATCAAGCCGTTTGTAGTTCATTACAAGTATTGAATGAGTGGTATCACTCAGAGGCTGAACCCTGTTTTATTGAAAGAAAAATAAAAAGTTAAGACTTATTGTCGAGTCTTTGTTGCTTATTTAGCATCTTTGAGTGCTTTTGCCGTGGAGAGTTGCACTTTGCGTTCGCTGATGAAGCAAGATCTTGTCATCTGCTGATCCCCGTGAAGCATGAAAACTCTGGCCGAAGTGACAAATTTCATGCATTGATGATAAGTCGACACGATTGCTTTCATCTCGTGGATCCAAGGTGTGCCAAGTATGGCATTGTAGATTGCTGGCTTGTCCATCACCGTAAATTTAACGATTTTTGTGACGCCGCCGGCATAGACCGCGAGTCGTATGGTGCCGAGGCTGAAGAAAGATTCACTGGCAAAGCTAGTTAAAGGCTTCGGCGCTGCCTTGATGTATTTGTCCTGGAATCCCATCTTAGTCAACGTATCTTTGAAGATGATGTTGACCGTGCTGCCGGTATCCATCAAGATTTTGGTCACCTCGCTGTCATGGATATGTAGTTCGACCACCAGCGGGTCGTTATGCGGGGTGTGTAACTCGTGCATGTCCTTCGATGTGAAGGTGATCGTAGGGTGATAAACCATGGGGCGAGGGAACTTTTGCGAGGCGACTGCTTTTCGCCCGTACTCTTTGATGGCAGACTGAGTCGTCGCAGTCAGGGAGTCCTCCCATGATCATGTTGACTCGTCGCTTCGGTGGAGGTGGCGGGTTTTCGTGTTCTCCTTCGTCGTTCTGACGCTCTGCTCCTTTCTCCTTCTCCTTTTCTTCGTGTCTTCTTTTGGGCGTGCGACTTCAGCGCCTTCCTCCAGAACTGCCTCGACTGCTGCTTTTTCCCAGATCCCTGCGATCCCGAGTAGAAGTGGCCGGACGCGAGTCCCTGGGATTTGAACTGCGTGAATAGGAGCTTTTACTCCGGGATCGATCGCCTCCGATGTTGATTTTGCCTTCTTTGTATTGTTCATACAGTGTATTTTGGAGGTGTCGACAGGCTGAAGTAGCATGTCCTGTCCGTCCGTGAAAGGAGCAGTACAGATCGTGATTGTCGTCCCTGTCGCTTGTGCTCCTTGGGGGATCTCCCAGAGTCCACTGGTTCCAGGGCTTCTCTCCGGATGTGACAATGGCGTGGGAGGACAGCTTGCTTTTGGTTGCGGGCTCCTTGTCTTTTGAAACATTCATGATGCCGTATTTCTTAGCGTAGAAAATTTTCTCTTCTTCCATTCGTATGAAGATTTAGGCTCGGTGGAGGGCGTCTTCTATGGTTTCCCGTGGGTTCTTGTGCAGATCTTTCTTGAGCAGGGATTCGTACCATAGTCCGTTCATAAGTGCCTCGATGGCTAAAGCTTGAGGGATTTGCCCGTATGCTGCATCGGCGCTCTTGAATTTCTCGATGAAGTCGCGGAGTCGTTGGTCGCATTCTTGCACTAGAGTGAACAAGTTGACTGTCCTCTTTGTGATGAACATGGAGTAATGTTTGATGAAGGCGTGAGTCAGATCCTTGAAGGATTTGATCGAGGCTGGGGGTAAGTTAGAGAACTACTTCAAAGCGTCTTTTTGAGGTGTTCAACAAAGGTTTGGCAGTGGTTGGCTTCTCGTTCGAGGTCGGTCTCGAATCGTTGCCTCTCATGGCGACGTTGAATCCGGTCAGCCATAGGTTGGGATCCTCCATCCTGTTGTAGTATGGGAGATTCAGTTTTATTGCCTCGCCGAGTCAGACGTCGGTGATCCGTGGGGTGAATGGATTGCGTTTGCATCTGAGAGAATGGCTGAGATCTCAAGCGCTGAGCTGGTGGCTCGATGGACTTGGGACCCGATCGCGTTGATTCGTTGATGAAGCCTTGCGATCTCAGAATTCAGTTCGCCAGATGGCTCCTCATTGTCAGCTGCTGTACTCCGGGTGTTGTTTTGCTCCGGTGTTTCGAAGATCAAACGTCGCCCGATCAGCTCTGATCTTGTAGTGGTTGCGGCTGTGAAGGCGCTGAGTTACTCGTCGTATTTGGCTTGTTGGGCCTGGAAGGCGTCTAGTTTGGACACCAAATCCTGCGTGAGTGGCTGCATGGCGGCCTGAATAGCTGCTGCGAGGTCAGCAGCCTGGATAGGAGCTGGGGGTGCTCTCGCAGGTGGATTCGCGGTAGTGATGTTCGTACGTTCGCCTAGGGCGGGTGTCTTGGTGTGAGTGGTGTCGTCGTCGTTGCGGATGAGATCGCTGTTGTCGACGGGGAGGCTCATCGCTTCGGCTTTCTTACTTGGTTTTGAAGAAGTTATTCTCCTAGTCCCCATAGACGGCGCCAATTCTTGAACCAGAAAATCATCACTAGGGTTTGATTAACAGTTGTGGGTTTTGGAGAATAAAGTCTTTTATTAATAGCAATAAAGCGTAGCGATTACAAAGAAGGGTATAACCGAGAGGTTATGCCGAAGTGAAAAGGTGTTTGCGAAGTAAACTAGAAAGCGTTGGAGTCTCTGTTTTTAGCTATATTGCTCTCTAGAATGTATTGGATGATCCTCTTGGCTTCGGGGTCCTCTCTATTTATAGGGATGGGAGGTCGGTTGCTCCGATCTCCTTTTCCTTTTTTTCTTTGAGTGTATTTCCATATCTCAGATATGGAAATATCTTTATTCTCCGAGGAGTAAGAAAATTCTCCTTTATCCTTTGAATTGATCCGATGTTTTCGGTCTTCAAAGGTTATCCTTAAGAGATTTCCTTAAATCCGAGTTAGATCGGCGTGGTCTTCTTGGTCTTGATGGGCTTAAGTTATTGCGGAGAAGACCTTTTAGAAAATGTGTTCATTTCTCTTCTTACATCGTTTTTGGTCATTTGTCCTTTATTGTTGGACACTAGTTTATTCAGGTTTTTTTATAAGGTATTTACTTTTCTTTTGACATCAACGTTTCTGAGAGTTTTCAAGATGCAGTTATTACTTGCAACTTTTACTTGTTGGATCATCAAACTTTGGTTATGTTTCTAACGTAAGAGAAAATTTGGTTTTGTTGGTTGACATTTAGATTTAGATTCTTCAAGAATATTAGAGGCTTGCAAGTTTGAGTCGTAATTGTTCTTAAAGTTTTGCTAGTGCTGTGTCTGTTTTAATCTTGGTTTCTTAGAGTTATTCTTTTTAGATTTTCGTTATTGTATCCCACAAATGTTATCCTGCAAATGTATTTCTTTCTTTGCTTTAATGAAATCTTCAAATGACCAAAAAAAAAACTCTTCTTTTTCTATTACCAAAAGAGAACAACAGAGGAAAACGAAAGTACTAAACACAATGTCGATTCTTCTATCTTTCTTCAGGCCCAACAAAACTTCCGATCATCGGTAACCTACACCAGCTCCAAGGGCTGCTTCACAGATGCCTTCACGATCTCTCCAAAAAACACGGACCCATCAAGGTTTTGTCCAAATGGTGGTTCTCTCATCGAGCGAAGCAGCTGAAGAAGCTCTTAAAACTCATGACCTTGAGTGTTATAACAGACCTATGACCAAGGCCTTGTCCAAATTCTCACGTAATGGCAAAGACATTGCTTATTCAGCACCAACAAGGTTAGATCTTTTCGGTACATCAGAGAGGAAGATAATGACTTGATGGCAGTGCCGGTCCAACAATTTTTGATGCCCTACACAAATTTAAAAATATGCCTTTTATATATTATATTTAAAACTACAAAAGTATTAATATAAAAAATTACGGTTAAACTTTATAAAATAATATAATTCCGAACAAACAATCCTAATTTATAAACAGTTTATAAAAAAAAAACAAAAAATACATATTGTTGAAATATATTGTCTTTACAGTTATGCCTTTAAAATCATTTCTTAAATTCACTAATCGATAACTTCAAATGTTCATCGTTTCAGTAAGATAATTTTATACAATTTTTTTTATTAATTTATCTTATTTTAAGAAATATAAATGAAACAAAAATCAATATTTTTTCATCGAATTTAAACGTTGTCAAAAACTGATAAATTTATAGTTATAATTTTTTTTTTCTCATCAATCCAAAAAATTTAAAAATATCAAAAATCTTAAAAATAAGTCAATAACTCACATATATGACAATAACAAAACTATGATTATGGTATTGAAAATATAAATGATATTATTGTTAAAAATGCTTGAATCTTTATTTACATGTAAACATATTAAAAAAATTATGCCCCTTTAAGATTTACTGTCCTAATCGGTAGCTTGGGTAGCTTATCCTGTCGGCCGGCCCTGATGGTCGAATCGGCTCAGAAGAAATCTCCGGTGGATTTGAGCAAAACCCCTTTGTACCTATCTGCAAGTATCGTATTCAGAACCGCCTTTGGGCAGAGTTTCTTGGAGATCAAGCATATCAATAAGGAAAAGATTGAAGATATGATGTATGAAGCGCAGAGAACTATCTCTTCCAAATTCTCTGATCTTTTTCCTATCGCTGGTCTTGGATGGTTTATAGACTTTGTGACTGGACAACATAAAAGACTTCACAACGTTTTTTTCGAGGTTGATACCTTTCTTAATCTGATAATTGATGATCATCATCAATTCAAGAACCAAACTCAAGATCGTCCCGATATCATCGACTCGCTCTTAGATGTCATACATAAACAAGAACAAGATGAATCTTTCAATCTCACCATTGATCATCTCAAAGGAATCATCTCAGTAAGCAAAATAATCTCTTTATTTTAAGATTCTTGAATCTAACATATATACATATATTATGTATATTTTGTGTATGTATATATCCTTGTATTAATCATCTAATCTCTTTTGGTTGGCCAAGAATATATATATCGCTGGAGTAGACGCAAATGCCATCACCATGATTTGGGCGATGGCAGAGCTCGTTAGAAACCCTAGTGTGATGAAAAAGGTTCAAGACGAGACCCGGACTTGGATTGGAATCAACTCAAAGGAGAGAATCGTGGAAGAAGATCTCGACATGCTTCAGTACTTGAAGCTTGTGGTGAAAGAAACCGTATGACTAAGCAGCCCCATTGTTACCTCCAAGAGAAACAATGAGTCAAATCAAGATTAAAGGCTACGACATTACCGCAAAAACAATCATACTGGTTAATGCATGGTCGATAGGAAGAGATTCTAAGCATTGGGAAGATCCATAAGAGTTTTATCACTGAGGTTTATGGATTGTTCTGTAGACTAAAAAGGACAAAGCTTTGAGATGCTGCCTTTTGGTTCTGGTCGGAGGATTTGTCCAGGTATTGCTTTTGGGATTGCGACCGTTGAATTGGGACTCCTTAATTTGCTTTACTACTTCGATTGGAGATTGCCTGAGGAGTGAGGACAAGAAAAATTTGGACATGGAAGAGGCTGGTGATGTCACAATTATTAAGAAAGTTCTTCTTCAGCTTGTTCCTGTCCTTCGTTGTTGATGGGGGTCATGGAATCGCAAGGAATGAGAGAACCGTAACTATGTAATGATGAAATCAATGTTACTACGTACTATCGCGCGTTGTGCATGGGAAATACATATGTAGTATCCAATGTTTGAAACTTCGACCAATTACGTGTTATCCGTGTTAATTATACGAATGAATAAATTTTTGATTTTTAAATATATTGGATTTATTTATCAAACAAGGTGATCTTCCGGAAAAAAAAATAACGTTGATATAATTTGAAAATTATCTATCTATTACTAATAAAAGTTGATGTTAAATGCCTCTAAAGGTGTCCACATAGGATTTAAAGATTCAATTCTATTGATACACATCATCATTATCTTTAGTTAATTATATATTTTATATTAAAAACTTAAGTCATACTAAAAATTAGTTCCAGAAAAATTATGATTTCTAAAATATTGGTATTCACTATGAATAACCATATAAATTACAGTATGTTATACGAGTTTCTAAATCAAATATATTATTTAAATTTACAAAGACTAATACTTTGTCTACGTCTGATTTAAAAACTAAAAAAAATACAACACAAGTAACTCTATATTCGAAATATAACAAGTAATAAAGTCTGACTTTTTATACATAGCTACTACTTATAACTTAGCCAACATGAACAGCACATGAGTAACACTTTCTAAATTTTTATCTAAATAATAATGTATGACAATGTTATGAATCAAATTCAAATTGGAATATATTTATATAAATTATTCAAATTAAAACATGAATAAAACACACATAAAATAAAAACAGTAAAAAATAATGTGAAGACTCCACACTATCTTACATGTTTTAAAAAAAAACACAAGTAACTCTACATTCGAAATATAACAAGTAATTAAGTCTGGTTTTTTATACATAGCTACTACTTATAACTTAGCCAACATGAACAACACATGAGTAACACTTTCTAAAATTTTATTTAAATAATAATGTATGACAATGTTATGAATCAAATTCAAATTGGAATATATCTATATAAACTATTCAAAATTAAAACATGAATAAAATATACAAAAGATAAAAACAGTGAAAAATAATGTGAAGACTCCACACTATCTTACATATTTTTAAAAAAGAATTATCAAATAGTTAACTGCAAATAAAACAGATTTTATAAATTAAATAGAGATATAACCTAAATTTCGTAGAAGATCTGATGGAGAAGCAGAAGAAGCTTTACACAACTATTGTAGCATCCTAACAAAAGTAAATCTGAATCAACATGAATCATATATTATGTATGCATAGTTACACAACATCAATGAAATATTTAATCAATAACTAAATATTTGAACATATAAAATCTTAAAAAAGAACAACTATAGAAATCCTAAGGATACAAGACAAAATACCAAAAGTTTAGTAAGAAAATCATTTTCTAAATCAAATACATGCACGTCGAAGTTGAATAATTTGTTAGGTGTCATAACTATGATTAGACTTAATAAGATTTTAAATTTTAGGAAAAACTATAGATTATGTTTTAATTTTTTTTATATAAAAGAAAATTTCTATAAATATATTATAGTTTTTATAATTTAAAAGATATGAACCCAAAAAAAGAATTAAATCAAATCATTAATACAGACTCACGCGTAGCGCGAGTTAAAAACCTAGTCTATAATAAAAGTTGATGCTAAATACTTTAAAGGGTGTCCACATAGGATTTAAAGATTCAATTCTATTGGTACACATCATCATTATTTTTAGTTAATTATATATTGTATATTAAAATTAATTAATTCGTTTTAATTGTTATAAGAAAAATTTCTAAATTTTAAATAATTTTGTTTTTATTGTTATTAGGAAAGTTTCTAAATTTTAAGTTAGTTATTAATAAAAAAGAGTTTTGAAAATAGATATTATTTTTCTACTAACAATAAAAAGGTAATGATATATTGGGTTTTTGAGGCTTTCTAATCTAAAGTTTTCAATGGTTTTTCGAGTCAAAGTGTGATTTTAGAGTCTTTTAGTCTTTTTATCGAGTCTTTTCAGGTTTTAGGTCGTTTTGGAAGAAAATTAGCCGTTTTGGGTGCAAACGAACATATATGGATGCAGAACTATACAGGAACGTCCGAAGTTTGGCATCCTTTGAAGTACTTCCCACCGATGGATCGAGCTGAAATTTGGACACAAGCTGTATATTTGAGTTAGATTTCATTTGGAAGTGGTTTGAAGTCAATCCAACGGTGCGATCAAAATTTATGCCAGTTTTCGTGAAAGCAGTCTAGTCTGGCGCGCGCAAAAGGCCGAAGAACTTCCCGAGAGAAATTAGATCGTTCGATCCGAGAGGCTATGGATTTCCCGAGAGGATTTAGATCGATCGATCCAAGTCCGGATCGATCGTTCCGGGGTCTTAACCAGCCGGTTTGGTCGAGCAAAAATAAGGAAACTTCGGGTTTTTCCTATTCCAACTTGGTTTTCGATAATTTCTCACCCAATTCGTTTCTGACCTATAAATAGTTGTTTTTCAGCCATTGTTTAGGCAACCCTCTTCTTTTACATTCATACTTTTAGGTTTTATGCTTTGTAAGCTTGGAGAGAAGAATCTCTACATCTTTTAAGAAGATTTCTGAACCCCTTTGGATTTCTTATTTATTAATTATGAATTTCTCTTCTTCTTCTTGCTGTTTCTCTGCTTTCATGTCTGAGTAGTTTCATAGTTAGGTTTAGGGTTCTCAAAGGATTCATGAATCAATGAACTAGACATAAATAAGGTTATTCATCTGCTGTCTTCACCTATTGTTGTTCTCATTGATTAGATTAATTTGATCAGTTAATCTCTGATTTAAGGTTTAATCTATTCATGAAAGTGTTTTAGATTGCTTGATAGAACATAGGTGAGCAGATTGTCCTTAGCCAACGAAAACTGATGTTAAGGCAATCTATGAACAAATTGAACCTGTTCATTAATGCTTGTTTAGAATTTTAAGTTCAAACGAAAGTTTAGATACTTAGGTTGCTAGACAAAGTCTTTGATGCCACGAAATTGGATTAATTATACATTTATGTTTGAGTTCTAGATTGTTCTATAATCTGCCCCGAATAATTGTCTGGTTCTTGATCTCTGAATTCCTGCAAAATTCCTAGACCTAGCGCTTTCTTTTACTGTCTTTAAACCGCTTTTATTTGCAATTTTCGTTTTACATTACATTCAACAACCCATATTCTTGTCTTAGCTTAGTTTCATTCATTAAGATTTGCAGTGTGACACTTGGTCCTTGTGGATTCGATCCCTACTTTACTACAACATTTGCTGTGCACTTGCAGTAGTTCTATAGGGTTAAAACTATGTGTATCAGGTAAATTATCATATAAATAGATTATGAAAAAAAAACATATATATTGAACAGAATTATTAAAAACAGTATTCAAAATCATAATTAAATTATTTTAAAATTTTAATCACGATAAACAATTAAAATCTGAACTGCTAACTTAAAATATATTAGTTGTGGTCCGTGTTGATGTCTTAGGCCAATAAAAGCGTCCACATATGACATATATACTCAATCTGATTAGTCTATATCAGCGTTTTTCATTAAAAATAAAAAATAAAAAATATTATTAATAATTTAAGTAAATTAAAACATACAAAAATATAAAATTATCACAATAGAATAGAAAATTAAGATAATTTTCTTACCTAAATAAAATAAATTTATGTCAAAAGTCTAAATCTATTGTGAAAATAAAATGGAAACTCATTGTCACAAAAACTAAACTAACAAAAACAAATATGTAAATCAATAACGAAAAAGTTAAATTAAAATTTTTTTTAGCATATATATTTTAAATGAGTAATTTATTTAGAAAAAATATTAAGATTAAATTTTCTTATAAACATATAAAATTTTTATTTAAAAATATCAATACTACCAAAAAAAAACATTCATCTTAAATTATCAAAAAATAAATTCATCTAAAACTTATAAATTTTGGGGAAATATTTAAAAACAATTAACAGAAAAATTTTAATAAACCAAAAATGATACTTTATGCTAATTACTGAAGAAAACAATATAAAAAAAGTTTAACTAACAAAAACGAAAACATAAATTATTTCTTACAACATGTCAATACAATTAAAATAAATTCCATATCGAGAAAGTTAAATTAACAAAAAAGAGGATATTAACTTAATATCTATATTATTTATTTTACAAAATCAATATAAACAAAATACGTAAGAGAATAAAAAACTTAAATAATACTAAAAACTTAACCAACAAAATTAATATAAATATTTAAGCTAATTATTTAAGAAATCAATATTAAGAAATTAATTAACTAAAAAACTAAAACAAAAATGAATTTTTACAAAATATTATTTTAAAAAAAAATATTTAAAATATATTGACTTGATATCTGACAAACTACTTAAAAATTCATATAAAAATATTTAACTAATAAAAAAAGTTTATGTCTTCAAAATATCAATATTTTAAAAACAATGGTGTGTTAAAATAAAACAAAAATTAATATCAACAGAGGTAAATTATCAAAGGAATAAGTCGTATAAAGTAAAATTAGCTTGATATTTAGGCTAACTACCAAACAAATATTAATTAAAAAAAGCAAATGATGGTATAAGCTTTGAGAGAAGTTCACTTAAAATTGAAATAACCAGTTATAGCATGTCAAAATAGCCTTTTAATTAATTTAAAAAGTAAATTTAACAAATAAGAAGCATTTATGTAAAATATATTAGATTAATATATATGCTACCTATTTGAAAAATCAACAACAAAAGAGATTAATTAAAAATATATATGTTTTAAGTATATCAAACCTGCAGAAAATTAGATAATTAAAATAAAATATAAAATTACCATAGAAGATATTTAAAATAACAAAAAATAAGATCTAAGAAGAAAATTAGTTTGACATATAGTTCCAAAAACATTCATTATTTCTAAAATATTGGTGTTGAATATGAATAACCATATAAAGTTTTAATAGGT